ACCACGTGTGTGTGTGTGTGTGTGTGTGTGTGTGTGTGTGTGTGTATACACACTCATATGTATGCACACACATAGTTATCTCAAAAGGCAAATGGTGGCTGAGAATTCTCTAGCATGGACAAGACCCTGGGTCTAATCCCCAGACCAAGAAAAAAGGAGGTGTATTACACAAGAAGAGCCGGGCGTGGTGGTATGTGCATTCCCAGCACTTGCAAGGTGCCCTTCAAGCACTTAGTAGGTGGAGGATTGCTTGTCCCAAGGCAACCTAGGCTGCGTAGTACGTCCTGCCTTAAAGACAAAAGAAATCAGGTAGAGTGGCACATACCTGCAAGACTTCAAAACAGGGCTGTTGAGATGGCTCAGGGGTAAAGGTGTTTAATGTCAAGCCTAATAACTTGCGTACTTGCGTTCGCTCCCTAGAAATGACTCCGTAGGAGAGAACCACCTCCCACAAGTTGGTTCTGACTCCCCCTGCCCCCACACGTACCCCTCACACAAGTAAATAAATGAATGTAAGAAGAAATTAGAAACAGGGCCTGGCAATGGTGGTGCATTGATCCCAGCACTCAGGAGGCAGAGGCAGACAGATCTCTGAGTTCAAGACCAGCATAATCTACAGAGTGAGTTCCAGGACAGCCAGATATACACAGAGAAACCCTGTCTCAATAAGCCGACCTAAACCAAGCCACGTCAAACCAACGTGCATCAGAATATTATTTAGCAATAAGGAGATGATTCTGACATAGGCTACAACACGGATAAACTTCAGCTTTATGTTAAGTAAAATAAGCCACAGACAAGTAGACAAATATTGTCTGATTCTATTTGTATGAGAGAAAGCAGAATGGTGATTGCCAGGGGCTTAAGGTTACTTTTAAAAATTTTCAGATGTGTTAAGATGGAAAGGTTCTGCTGATAGACAGCAAGAATGTCTGTACTATGAGTGTATTTAGTGCCACCACCAGGCACATTTAAAACAGCTATGCCAGGCAGTGGTGGCAGGTGCCTTTAATCCCAGCACTTGGGGAGACAAAAGCAGGTGAAACTATGAGTTCAAGGTCAGCCTGATCTACAGAGCGAAATCCAGGACAGCTGGGACTACACCGAAAAAGAACCCTGTCTTGAAAAACAAAACAAATAAATAAATACATACATCAATAAATAAAACAGTTGAGAGGAAGCTGGCAAGATGGCTCAGTGGCTAGGAGCACCAGCTGCACAGCCTGATGACCCCAGCTGGAACCCATGGAGGAGAGCTGGACACAGCTTTTTAATCTCTCATCTCGTTGCGCTTCTGCAGCAAGAAGGGAGACAGGAGAATCTCCTGGAAGTTCGTGGGGTACTCAGCTTGGCAAAAATGAGAGAACCTGCCTCAAAAACAAAGTGGGAGGACAAAACCGGCTCTCCAAAGTTGTCCTCTGACCCTCCCATAGAGGCCATGGTATGTGTTCACCAACACCTACACTCACACATTGTCTGTTTGCCTGTCTCTCTGTCTGTCTGTCTCTCTCTCTCACACACACACACACACACACACACACACACAAACTAATAATAAATAAAAAAAATTAATAGCTAGCTGGGCAGTGGTATGCCACTAATAATTAATAATGGTTGAGATGGGAAATTCTATCTGTGTTTCACCACCACCACCAAAAAAGTGAGCAACAAAAGAGAAGAAAAACATATACAAGAACCGATTTTTTTTTTTTATGTTATGATGTACAGCATGGTGCAAATGTGGGGGTCAGAGGACAACTTTGGAGTCAGTTCTCTTCTTCCATCTTTATGTGGGTTCTGGGATTTGAGATCAAGCTTGTTCAGTACATGGTTTGCCCACTTGGAATATAAAGTAAGTAAGTAAGTAAGTAAGTAAGTAAGTAAGTAAGTAAGTAAGTAAGTAAGTAAATAAATAAATAAATAAATAAGATGAAGGATCTTAAGTCCAGAAGAATTCAATGACTTTCCCAAAACCACGAAGTTAGATCACAGAAGATTTACACTTTGAACCCAGGCAGTTGGTTCCTAAGGCATAAGGTCCTATCAGGAGCTGGTAAGCCATCTTGTCAGCCCTAATTCTGATTTGAAAGGTGTGTGCCACCACACTGGACAGTGATTTTTTTTTTTTTTAATTGGAGACAAGGTCTCCCTATATAGCCCTGGCTGGTCTAGAACTTGCTATTTTGATCAGGGTGGCCTCAAACTTACAGAAATCTGCTTGCTGAGATTAAAGACATGTGCCATCATGCCCAGCTCATTTGTTTGTTTGGGATTTTGTTTTTTGTTTTTTGGAGACAGGGTTTCTCTGTGTAGCTGTGGCTGTCCTGAAACTCACTCTGTAGACCAGGCTGGCCTCAAACGCACAGTGATCCACCTGTCTCTGCCTCCTGAGTGCTGGGATTAAAGATGTGTTCCACCAGACCCAAGTAACAGTTTTAAAAATTACATAAATTATTTTATGTGTGCGGATGTCTTGCCTGCATGAGTGACTCAGTACCATCTGTGTGCCAGGTGCCCACAGAAGCCAGAAGACATCGGGTCCCTTGGAACTGGAGTTACAGATAGTCGTGAGTCCATGTTGGTGCTGAAAACCAAACCTAGGTTCTCACGAGGAAAACCCAGTGCTCTTAAGTGCTGAGCCATCTCTCTCTAGTCCCCTGTTCTGTTTTGTTAAGACTTGTTTTGTTCTTTATGTTATGTGTGTGTGTTGGGGGGGGTGTATGTGGATATGAGCACAGGTGCCTTCTAAACCCAGAAGGATTAAGATCGTCTGGCTCTGGAGTTACAGGTGGTTGTGAGCAGTCTGCTGTGAGAACTGAACTCAGGTCCTCCGTAAGAGCAACACGTGTTCTTACTACCGAGCCATCTCTCCAGTTCCCCTGATTCGGACTTTTAAAATGGGGCTGGCCTTCTCCCTAGGTAGCCCTGATTGGCCTGGAACTTGCCATATAGAGCAGGACAGTCTCACAGAGCTCCTCCTGTCCTGAGGGCTGGGGTTAACTAATATCATGTTCACACACACGCTTTTGCTCTTGGGATGGCTGTCTTGATTGCCTCACCCTAATCCTAGCCACAGCCATGTCCCAGCTGTGACAGCTTCTGCTCTCTGAGTTACCTCCTCCTGGCATTTGGTCCTGTCCGCTGTCTCCACAGCATCTTCTCCTTCCCAGCTCCTGCTTCACTGAGCTCCTGTGCTCACAGGTCCAAATGCTCAGTCAGGTTTCATGCACTCTACTGTCTTTGTCAGAGGAACTTAGGTCTCAAATCTCCCTGTCACTAGGTGTCTTCGAAGAGGCATGCCTGTAATCCCAGAGTCTGAGGCAGGAGGACCGTGAATTCAAAGCCCAGCCTAGGCTACCGTGTAAGACCGTCTCATAAAACAAGTAAACAAACAAAACCAAAAAACACTCCCTGTTGACCTGAGCCTATCCCAGTAACATTTTCCATGGTCCTCAGCCTCTGCCAAGAGACTCATGTATTGGACCCATTACCTGCCCCCACCTCCGGAGATCTCACAGCCAATGTCAGGTCATGCTGTTTACCTTGGAAGGGGTCATCTTCCTACATCACTCATGTCTCGTACTGGAAACTTGATAAATAAATGTCCAGGACGCATGATAGCTAAGCTTCCCCCACAACCCAAGAAAGGACAGCAGGACCCGGTGCAAAGGTTTATTTCTGAGGCTGCCTCTAACTAAGGGAAGTACGGTTAGGCCCTAGCCTTGCTGGACATAAGCATCTGTTCTCTAACAGAAGCACTGGCCCTTGTCCACAGGCTTAAGCAAAGAAATTAGAAGTGGCTGGGGCACGTGGGACAGTGTCTCAACGGTTCGGGCATGGTTTTCAGTTCTGCCTCCCAAGGGATAGGCCCTGAATCAGGAGGGACAACAGGCTCACATGGAATTGCCTGTCACCTCACATGGGATATTGTCTGCCCATGGTTAATCAATAGGAGTTGGACTCTGCCCTCAGCCACCCCTCAACATAGCTTGGTTATTGGACGTGGCTGATGTCAATAGTACCCTCCTTCAATACACCATACCCTGACCAGGCAGCCCTGAGCATTGTGTGTGGGTGGATAAGGTGGGGTATGGAAGTGTCCAAGGACAGAGGGAGAAGACCCAGAGGGAGAAGGGACTGGGAGAAACCCCGAGCCTGGTGTTTGGAGATGGGTTTGGCTTGTGTCTCTCCCTGGCACCCACGTCAAAGTCACTAATTTATTTATGTGAGGCTACAAAGACCAGGGCTTGGACTTTGGATTCCTCAGGCTGCTGGGAGGGTCAGTCACTGACCACTGAGTGGACAGGTGTTGGACTTGTCATATGCAGGTAGCATGCTGTACTGGCCTGTGGCTTGAAGGAGGGATACCTCAAGCCCTTCATGAAAACTGGGGAGGGAGGAAGGGAGAAAGGGAGGGAGCGCTGTTTGCCCAACCAAACCGAGAGCCACCAGCCGCTGGTGGGGGTGGCAGGAGACTGACAGGTCACTCGGGCACTGCTGAGTCACTGAGTTCCAGCTGTCCCAAGTCCTGCCGTGTCCTAGCTGAGGCCGGCTACTGTAGGTCCAAGAGGCCAGTGCAGCCAGGCGATGAAGGGCAGGGAGGGAGTTGGGGACTTGGGGACTTGGGGGAGGGTCTGTGCTTCAAGCCTTAGGGCTTTGGGAGTGTGGCTGGTGGAGCAGCAGGTTGAGGGACAGGAGGGGACTACAGTGCAGCTGGGCTACGGAGTCTCGGGGCAAGGGACACACATGAATTCAGCATCTGTGAAGAGAAAAGGGGATGAAATCTCAGCCTCCTTGAACAGCAAAATAAATGGCTTTGTCGGAGGGGCGGGGGCAGCCCTGGAACCTGTGCACCTGGGGAGGGATGAAAAGAGGCCGCGCTAATGAGTAGGGGGCGGGGCCTCTGGCGGTGGGTGGAGCCTGAGAGCAGTGGGGCGGGGCTTAGGGGGCGGGCAGCAGGAAAAGTGGCCGTCTGAAGCCCAGAGCGGTGAGGAGCTAGGGGCAGGGTTGGGGCCCTGAGTTTAAGGAGAAGGATGATGGGAGGTCTGGCTAGCTAGCTAGGACCCCACCTCAAAAGAGCCCGCAGTCTTTGAGATTCTCCTTGATGATAATGTCGGTGACAGCGTCAAAGACGAACTTGACGTTCTGTGTATCGGTGGCGCACGTCATGTGCGAATAGATCTCCTTCACATCGCGGCGCATGTTGAGCTCCAGGAACTGCACTTTGATGTAGTTGCCGGCATCCTCGTAAGTGTTAGGTCCTGCGGCAGAGGGCAGCACTCACTCGGCGCGGGAAGACGGGCGCCGGAGGGAAGGACCGCGCGCCCTTGCGCGCGCGCGGGGGAATGGTGGGGCTGGAGCACCGCCTGGCGGCCGGGGCTGGGGATCTCACCATCGTAATCGGGAAAACAGATGCTGAGGTGCGCCTTTTTTATCTTCTCGGAGAAGACGTCCTTCTTGTTGAGGAAGAGCACTATGGACGTAGTGGCGAAGTAGCGATGGTTGCAGATGCTGTTGAACAGGTGCAGGCTCTCGTGCATTCGGTTCTGGGGAGGCCAGAGGCTGTCGGGCACCAGGCTACGCAGGCAGCTGCCCCTTGGGTCTCTCACGCGCCTCCCCACACCAACCGCGCCCAGCCATCCCCTGAGTGCGTCTCGGTGGCTGGCTCCCCTGGGTCCGCCCGCCTCCTCCAGCACTCGGGCCCAACTTGGCACTCACCACCTCGTCGTCCTCCACCAGCACCATGTCGTAAGCGCTCAGCGCGGCGATGAAAATGATGCAGGTCACGCCCTCGAAGCAGTGGATCCACTTTTTGCGCTCGGAACGCTGCCCGCCCACATCGAACATTCTGGAGGGTAGAGCCGCGTCCAGATTTAGACCCGTGTATCCGGTCACGCGGATATGCCCACTGGCACCCCCTTGTCCGCCCCAGCTGGCTCGAGAGCCCTCATATGGCTTGGCGTGAAGTGACCAGCCTTTCTCCTAGCAAGGGTGAGGCCTTCACTCAAGACGGTGACTGAGCGAGAGTGCAGGGGCCTTACCTGAAGTTGAGGTCCTTGAAGGAGAACTGCGTCTCGATGATGCCAGTGGTTTTGACACGAGAACGCAACACGTCCTGCTCAGTGGGCACATATCCTGGAGTCACCAGGCGCTCCAGGTCCGAAAGGTAGCTGAAGAAGGCCACCGGGCGTGAGCCGTGTGGGAGGACACACCAGCGGGGCCCGCCTACCCACCTCCTCCGCTCCCTGCCCCCGCGTGTGTACTCACTAGCCAGCAGAGTCGTTGAGCTGGTACTCGGAGGCGCGTTCGAAGCAAGCTTGGATACCCGAGTCCTTCCACAGGCGCTGAATGATGTCCGACATCTCCTTGGGCATTGTGCCTTCCTCGATAGTATCTGCCATGTGCATCAGCTTCCGGGCATCATCCTGGTGGTGGGGCAAGATAGTGGCTGTGGCCCTGAGCCTAGCCAGGTGCCCTGCGCCCTCAGGGACCAATGTCAGCCGGCCCCCTGCCTCACCTGCCGGGCTGAATCCCCATACTGAATGTTGAGCGTGGTCATAGCCCGAACAATGGCCAGGATGGACTGCAGAGTGTTGCCGTAGATGATGGCGATGAACTCGAGACATTCTTCCAGTGAATACCCGTCCTGGTGGATAATCCTACAGCCAAGACCAGCAGAGTCAGAGCCTCTTGGGCCAGCAGGGAAGGGTAGGTTCCACTGCGCATGCCCCCACCGCTAGGGGCCTTAGGATGGGCAGGGAACACTCACTTCATCTGCTTGACAATCGTGCTCTTTCCAGATTCACCGGCACCTGAAAGGGAAGCTGTGCTTCAGAGCTGAGCTGACCAGCCCTGACCACTTCCTTTGGATGGAGCGGGGGGGGGGGGCCAACGAGACCTCCAGGTACACTTGCCTTGCCTTCATCTCTATCCAAAGTAAAGTCTTGAAGACCCCTGGAGGGGGTGAAATGCTTGCCCGGAGGGAAGGACAGGGTTCCCCCAAACTCAAGTATACAGAGCCTTTTTTATGCCTTGAGGCCAAAATAAGGAAACCCTCTAGTGCCACCTTGTGGTATACCAAGTACTGCATGCACAGGATTAGAGACTAGAGAGAGGTCCCTGAGGGGCTCAGAGGGAATTAGCACCCTCAGATGGGGGAGAGGACAGAGCTAACATCCTTTCTGAGCCTGTCCTCCTCAAGGGTGCTGGATGCAATTAATGGGATTTCCGGCTTAGCTCTGGCCTTTCTCCTGGCTAGAACCTCTGGCTGTCCTCCTAAACCAGCAGCTTTCCCTTGGGGTAATGGCAGTACCCCCATCTCTCCTCACTACCCACGAGATCATGCGTTTGGCTTTACTTATTCCCTGTGGGCTTCAATAGCTTTCTACTTTCTTTTAGGTTTGTCCTGGAACTCGCTCTGCACACCAGGCTAGCTTCAGACTCAAGAAATCCACCTGCCTCTGCCTTCTAGTGCTGGGATTAAAGGGGTGCATTCCTGCTGACTGGCATCTTTCCACCTCCTTTAGCTGTCTACTGATAACCAAGTTCTGGCACTCAGTGCCTTTGTGGACATGGGTGATCTTAGAGGCTTCTTGCTCCCTGGACCTTATTCCCAAGGGAGAAAGAGTAGCCAAGGAGACCGTGCTGAGCAGGCCTGAAAAACGAAAGGCTCTAGCTTGAGGGCAAAAGGGTGCCTGACCACACAAATTTATACTAAGGTGTGTTAGGCATATGCTTCCACGGAGAGAAGAATGTCCCCTGGAAACTGTCCTGGGTAGCCTTGGGCTAGGATATCACCACCTGCCAGGCCCTGCCTGGGAATGGCTGCCCCTCTGTTCATGGAAAGGCTGCTCGCCTAGCCCCAGGCTGCTGAGCTGCAGCGGTGCCCTCCCCCACGCTGGCCCACACCCCTACCCAGAAGCAGCAGCTTCACTGTTCGAGCGTCCTTCTCGGCATCCTCTTTCAGCTTCTTCTCCAGCTCTCTGGAGTGCTTCTCCTCAGCGCTGGCCCCGGCCCCCATGGTCCCAGCAGCAGGCCAAGGGACAGGGCAGGTAACCTCTGGCCTCCTCAGACAACCTTCTGGCCTTAAGGCTGGCAATCAACTGGCTCTCCACAGACCTGCACAGGCCCTGGTGGGGTTGCTCAATGGGATTTGGAGGCTAGGGATGGCCTGGGGGCCAATCAGAGACAAGGACAGGTGGCGCTCAGTCTCCTAGCCTTTTAATCAGGCTGGAAAGGCCCCAATCCTTCGACTGCTGACTCTGCGTCCTTCTGCCCCCTCCAGTTCTCCGGAGGAGGCCCTGAAGAGTCCTTCCCCTGTCCTATAGGAGTTTGTTTGGTAGAACTGAGGGAACAGACCCTTTAGTCCCAGAAGTAGGGGACTAGCAGGAGAGCGCTGAAGAAGAGGCAGGCACAGAGGACCTCCTGCTTGCCCAGCCGAGGTTCACGGATCAGAGGGTTCTGTGCCTGCCTGCCAGGAGCCATGAGGGAGTAGGTGACTTTGTACTGGCCTGACAGACACTAAGTGTGACCCTGGGCATGGTCTCTGCGTGCTTTCTGCTGATGGATGGGTGAGTCTGTTACACATGCCTGGGTGTGCTTTCTGTTCCTTACTAGGATCAAACGAAGGAATGAGTAGACACTTGAGCCCTTATGCCTCCGTGTATGTGTACCTACCTGCCAGGAGCCTTTTGAGGGCACGTGCCCTCACACACCTGTTTATGTGACTGTGCATGCAATGTGTGGGTGTGCATTAGGTTTTGTGTGTGTGTGTGTGTGTGTGTGTGTGTGTGTGTGTGGTGCTGGGGATCAAATCTAGGAATCCCTGCATGGTAGGCACGCACTTCACGCCTGAGCTGCAGCCCCGGTGTCCTAAGCACTTCTCTGTGTAGGCCGAGGCAGTCCCGTGCCTCCTTTACAGTGTTCTGTGTGGGTTCACAGCGGTGCACATGTGCCCGACTGTGCAAATGTAGGTGACTGTGACACACGCTGTGGTGCACGTGCCTATGCACAGGTGTGCCTGCCTGCCTGTCTGTGCCGGCCCACGCACGTGTCTAGCTGTACGTGTGCAACAAAGGCCACTACAGAGGTGGCTAAGCTCAGTGGCTCTCTGGCAGGCCTGTTGTCACGGATGCTGAGTCCTGGTGCAGGCTTGGTGCTCCTCAGAGTACGGAAGAGCGGGGGCTCACCCGCCCTGCTTCTATCCGGTCCAATGCGGGACCTGCACAGGTGTGGCAGTTGGTGAAGAGTGGCGCCTCCTGTGCAGAGCACCTAGGCACTGGAGATGTCTTGTCCAGACACAATATTGGGCTCGTAAGGCTACTGATCTGGGGCCTCTTCACTGGACTCCTTTCCTGAAACCAGACTCAACTGTGTGACAGCCTACAAAGAGGTGCCAGGGTCTCAGGCATGGAGCATGGAGTCATCTCCATTCAGGACATGTAGGAAGGAGATAGATAACCTTCGCTGGCGATTTGGGCATTCATCCTGAGGAAGGTTGTGTTCAGGAGCAAAACTGCTCCTTCTCTCTTCAACTCTACATTTTAAGTGGCCTACAAAGGGTCTCTGTAGCTCAGGTAGTGCAGGATCTCTGGCTTGTTGGAACCAAACCCGTTTTCTACACAGCTTTTTTTTTTTTTGACAAGGTTTCTCTGTGTAGCCATGCTGTCCAGGAACTCACTCTGTAGACCAGTCTGGCCTCGAACTCAAGAGATCCACATGCCTCTGCCTCCTGAGTGTGGCAGATGCATCGCCTTCAAATCCCCACCTGGCTTCCATTTCTCACCAACTGTGGGCCTAACCCACCTCCATTCCCACTCCGACCACCAAGGAGAGAAACCGAAGTCTAGTCTAGTCCCAGAGCCAGTGTTTATTAGCAAGATGGAACCCAAGAGTGGCTGTGGCCTGGGTAGCGGAGGACTGCAGGAGCTTCCCTCCCCCATCGACCCAGCTGCCTCGAGTTATTTACACCCATCACCTGAAGCAGTAGGTGGACGGGGAGCCTTAGGGATGCCCTGCAGAGCCTGGGCTTCCCAGTGGCCCAGCTATCCTCAGGGATGGGGGCTCTTTTGAGCCACGACCGCGCCCGGCCCCACCCACGAGTCAAGGTGGCACAGGAAAACCTAAGGAGGTAGTGGGGTGGACCTGCCAGGACAGGCAAGGAAGGGAGAGGAGAAGGTCCTACCCCACCCAGACGGACTTCCCTTCTGTCCCCAATAAATAGAGAATAAATACCTGGGCGAGGTCGGCCTTGACTCAGCACCTCTGACCCAGGCAGGGGCCTGTATCCTGTGGTGGCCCCTTTCTCCCTCCTCTGAGTGCCCTGAGCCCCCACCCCCAGACTCCACAGCCATCTCGGTGTCCGTGTCTACGCCACAGCACAGCTGACAACACTCATCAGCAAAGGTGTATGGTCCATATGCCCTGGCAAGGAGGGCTTCCTCCCTCCCTGTGTTCTGCAGATCTTGACAGCTGTTGAGCAGGGAGATTTCCACGGAGTCTGGGGACTGTGTGGTCTTGGCCTGGCCCAGGCAACTGCCTAGGCCAGGATGGGCATGCACAGTCACGTGCCGTTGCTGACCAACATGGGTCCAAGTTCTGGATAGAGTTGCCACGGAGGCAGGCTATATACAACCCACCAATAAATACTGTCTTTGCAGGGGTAGGGTATGTATAGAATATAGATATTTTTATATATATATATATCTTTTTATATTAAAAGGGATGAGGGGCTAGGCTGGTCCTGTGGAGGCCTCCAGCAGCTGGCCTCATGTGTCCGGAGGGTGGTGACGACGGTTCCGGGGCTTTTTCTGGTCCTGGGGTTCAGGAGGCCTGAGTGCTCCTGGAGCCTCCCTCGGACTGGGGGGCACATGGCGCCAGTAACCCTGGCAGTACTGATGGATGAGGCCCACTTCCGGCTGGGCTAGGAGCTGGGCCAGCTCCTGGTAAGGAGGTGTCGGGGGACCTGTGCCAGGAGGTGGAGGGATGCTCCCAGCCAGCGGGGGGAAGAGGGCAGCGTGCACGGCGTCCCGGCCCAGCACGTGCAGCTGCACCCGCGTGACGATGTGCTTGAAGTTGTTCTCAGTGGCCGTGCAGGAGTAGAGGCCGCGGTCAGCGAGCTGCAGGGCACGAAGCAACAGCCCGTGCTCTGTGCGCAGGAGGCGGTCCTCTGCGCGAATCTGCAGGGGCAGGGGGTGGGGCTCAGGGGCCGGGTCAGCACTCCGCGGCCCCAGCTTCCAGCTTCCGTGTGAGACACCCGTGGGCCGTTCCAAGTGGAGACACCCACGCGGTGTGTTCATCCACCGAGAGACAAGCCCACGCAGTGTTGGCACACGAGAGGTTTCTGAACGGGGGATTGACAAATATTTCCACTTCAGGAGGGGTGATGACCCTGGTCGGGGTGGGGTGGGGGCGGTTCTGAACAACGAATGAGAAGATTTTGGAGCACACACAGAATTTTCATTTAATGAGAATACCCAGCTGCGGCACCCACAGAGCATTTCCACGTAAAGAGGGCCCCCTGGAAGGCTTTTCCAGAGAATATCCAGAGACTTTCCGTATACTGGAGCTCACCCACGTGACGTCCCATACAAGGAGGCATACCCCGACAGAGTACAGAGAGGGAAAAAAAATTCTTTTTTCTTTTTTCTTTTTTTTTTTTTTTTTTTTTTGAGACCGGGTTTCTCTGTGTAGCCCTGGCTGTCCTGGAACTCGCTCTGTAGACCAGGCTGGCCCCGAACTCAGACATCCACCTGCCCCTGCCTCCCGAGTGCTGGGCCTGTAGGCGTGTGCCACTATGCCTGGCTTGGATATGGAATTTTTATGAAAGGAAGCCAGCCTAACAGAAGCCTATCCCACTCAAATGATGTCGCTGTAAGGACGAGCTTAAAGAGGTTATTTCCCAGAACGAGGGCTGCCCCGGCCTGGCCATACTGTGTTTCTCTCACGTGCGCTCACCAGTGTAAAAAAGAACTCCCATATCCACATCCACAGGGCAGCATTCGGGGGGAACCCAGGAACTCACCTCACGGCGCCGGTCACTGGGATCTCTCTGGAACAGCCACTTCACGGTGGCCTGCGGGGAGCGAGGCTGGCACTCAAGGAAAGCCGCGCTGCCGGCCACTCCATACTGCACAGACTCAATGGCGTTCTTGTTGGCTGTGGATCAAGAGGGCCCTGAGTGGAAGCAGCATTGCTCCTAGGTGGTTTGTTCAGTAGGGAGAGGCGGGCATCAAGGTGGCGCCCACACATGAAAACAGGGAACTTCACTGGGTATCTAGCCATTGAGGGGAGGACAAAGGACATCTTGATCCCAGACCTAAGGCGATGCTGCCTCCCAGGGAACCGTCTGCAAGCCTGTGGACCACGGGGGCTGTTCAGGGCTCCAAAACACAAGAAGCACCCTCCAGGTGGTGCAGTGTGCTCACTCACCATTGGAATTGAACCCACGGCACTGCCTGATGGGGTTCCCATGGCGGACATCTTGCCGGCGACTCCGCCTGGATGAGGATAACGCCTGAACAAGTGCTTTTGGGAGGTTTGCTCCCAGGTTCCTGCACCCCCAGGACTCTAGAACAGGGCCTGTGCCCCCTGGGGCAATTATGCCTTAGCCATACCCCACCCTCACCCCCACCTCCAGACTCCCAAGAGTCTAGCGGTCCCTACCTCTTGGAGGATGCCGTGTAGCGAGAGCAGGCCTGGCCATCCCAGGCACAGTAGGGATCCCGGGCGAGGCAGCAGTCGGCACAGGCAGCTCCATAGGCCTGGCAGCGGTGCAGGCTCAGGTGCGTGACGCCCACGGCTGACGCTACATACAGCTGTTGCTGGGGGCAGGGCAGGGGAGTGTCAGTTCTCCTCTCACAGACAGCCCCGTCAGTGGGCCAGCTGGGCTGGACCCCTTCTCTTCCCTGCTTCATGTTTCAGTTTCCTAGTCCTTATGCCAAGGGCACGACCCCCAGTGGGACACGGGCTCCAGCCTCACTCCCGGCACACCCTGCCAAAGACTCACCCTCTTGGAAGAGATGGTCATAGTCTTAACGGGTGCTGGTTCCTAGAAGAAAGCGGAGGTCAGCGTGGGATCCCGAGGACCCTTCCCAGCCCTGGCTGAGGTCTGAAGTCAGGGTGGGACCGAAGAGGGTCGAGGTGGGGTGGACGCCTACCTTGAAGACCTCCACCTCCTCAAGCAGGAGCTCCTCTACCTCCTGGTCGTCCTTCGGCAGCACGATGACCTTCTGCACTGTCCCGAGGTCTGGAACGGGCCGGGCAGGGCCTCAGTGGGGCTGGGGCGCTGCCCACCAAAGCCCCATGTCCTCTGGGGCAGTGGGGCAGGGCTTCCATGCTGAGGTTCAAGGGCCTCCCGTGGACAAAGGGGACAGTTGGGGGGGGGGACTAGAACACGACAAAGGGGGTGGTGGCCAGGGTCTGCCCTTGCACCCACACTCTCATTTTGGGCTCTGCTGAGAACAGAAACTGGGCAACTGAATCTGCTGCTGTGGCAACTGTGGCCAGTGTGTGTGTGTGTGTGTGTGTGTGTGTGTGTGTGTGTGTGTGTGCGCGCGCGTGTACATGCGTGGGCATGCAGTTAGATCCTTGTATCCTAAGTTCTTTTGAAGCCATACCAGGGCCCCTAAGTGCCTGGTGTCCCTACTTTCCTGGGACCCATGAAACAGGGTTAGAGATGGAGCCTTCCTATTCCTAGTCTTGGCTGTTCTAGCCAAGGAGAGCTGGTTCCCATAGATGAGTCTCTAGCAACCCCTAGCTGGGCAGGACCTGGCCCCAGGAGCAGTTCCTCCCATCCAGTGGGCCCGGGGTGGGAGGGTCTGAGAGCAGCAGTGGGTACCTGTGCCCAGGAAAAGCACCTCATAGCGCCCATCAGCTGCATCCACCTGGTCCACGGCGACAGTGGTGAGGCGGTAGGGAGCACCCGTGCGGACCACCAGGGGGCGCCGCTGCAGCGGGTACACGGCCTGGTACATGAGCGGATGGCTCCGCATGAAGTTGATCACTTCATCGGGGTAGTCCTTGGTCGATTTCATGGACGGTGTAAAGGTTCCGCCCGGGCACTGCAGGCAGATAACGAGTGTCAGCCCTAGGCTGCCCAGGTGAGGCACTCGGAGCATCAGCTAAGAAAGCTCCATCCCGTCCCTACAGCCTCCACTGCTTCTCTCTCCGAACCCTTTCCTGCTTTCTGCCCTCTACCTCCTATCTGCTGCATGTGTCCTGCATGACTTTGTGCCAGCATTCGGCTGAGATGGCTACTCCCTTCCCATGTCCTCATCCCCACCCAGCTGTCTCCTTCCTCCCTGGCTGTCCCTCTGGTTTCACTGCTCTTTCCTGTGCAGCTGGGCTGATGGCCTCAAGACCCTGGCACACACTGAGCACACTCTCCCCTCCCCCGATGCTGCCCCTTCTGCCTTGGGGTCAGCCTGTCACCCTTCCACCTCTGACTTCGTTCTGGAGAGAAGCCTTCCCAGACTCCTTGGGAGAACAACTTCACCACGCCGGCACTGACCCCTCAGAGTCTCATCTGCCACTGCATTAGGTCAGATGACTGAGCTCACAGTCTCCTGTGGCAGGCCCAGGCCAGACCCAGATACTGACATGGCACCCGGTGCGGCAGAGAGTAAGTACAGCTTGGCCCTGCCCACTCCTCATCACCTTTCCTGTTGTTAGCTAGCCAAACTGACTGCAACCTACCTCCAGCTTTGCCTCAAAGATCCTTCCTGTTAACCTTCACCTCCCCCAAAGCTGCCTAGAGTACCCTCCCTTAGGCAGCCCACCACACCTGGCCCCTCATCTATCTATCTGGGAGGCTGCTTTCTTTACAGTCTGATATGTGTTGTGTAGATAGCTTTCTTTCCTGCTGTTGTGTTTGGTTGTTTTTTGTTTTTGTTTTTGTGTTTGTTTTTTTTTTTTTTGAGACAGGGTTTTTGTTTTTTTCTCTACATATAGCTATGGCTGTCCTAGAACTCACTAGACCAAAATAGCTTGAAGTCACAGAGATCCACCTGCCTCTGCCTCCCCAGTGCTGGGATTAAAGCAGTTTGGCACTGTGCCTGGCTGTGAACAGTATAAGTGTGTTGTGTTTCACTGCCCCTGTTGGTTAAGAGGTTCATTATAGTGGAGCTGATGTCATCAGAGAGTCCGTGTGTGCCTCTTAAAACCAAAGGAGAGGGGCCAGAGAGATGGCTCAGCAGATAAGAGCACTGGCTGCTCTTCCAGAAGTCCAGGGCTAATTCCCAGCACCCTACATGGAGGCTCATAACTGTAATTCCAGGGGATCCAATGCCCTCTTCTGGACTCTACAGGAGGCAGGCATGCATGTGTCTATAGAGGCAGGCCAAACACCGAAACACATATCAAAAACAAAAGGAAACCACAGGACACGCCTTGAATCCCAGCACTTGAGAGGTAGAGGCAGGCAGATGTCTGTGAATTTGTGCCCAGCCTCGTCTACACAGTGAATTCCAGGCCAGCCAAGGATACAGTGAGACCTTGTCTCAAGAAAGAAAAAGAAGAGGAGGAGGAGGAGGAGGAGGAGGAGGAGGAGGAGGAGGAGGAGGAAGAGAAACACAGTTGGGTACTTACCGTGCCAGGCCGAGGATAGGGCATCTTTCCTGAGAAGGGCATCCACTGATAGTTGGGACCCTCCTTGTGAGCAAAAGGCCCATTGAAGACCATGCGGATATCAGCCATAGAGTAGACACACACAGCAGAGCCTCGGAACACGGAGCTGTGTGCAAGCAGGTTACAGCTATGACTGGGACAGACCCTGGACCCATAGCCCTCCCCAGCCCATGTCCACCCCTCAGCTCACAGTCAGCCATAACCTCCCAAGCCAATCCTGCCGCTGCCTGCCATGACCCCAGCCTCACCCTGAGGAGGTAAAGACAGCATAAATGACCGGGTTCCTGACATCCTGGCTCTGCTGGACAAACACATCCTCTGGAAAAAGAGACGGAACCAGGGACATTACCTCAGGGAGGAGCCAGCATGGACCCACCCACTCTTGCCCACAGGAAAGGGCACCCTGACCACTGATCCAACCTCCATCCCCTGCTGTAGCCATTGGACCCTGCCTGCGTGCACTCACGAAGTTCATCGAAGTGGGTCTCGATACCATCCTCCCCTGGCACGGAGCAGACGAGCCGCGCCTTCAGGAATGTGCTCCACTTGTTGACCAGGCAGCAGTGGCCGCCGTCATCGTTCTGGGGGGGGGGGGGGAGGGGGCGCAGGTAGCCAGATGAGATCAGCTCAATTGCCCCGAAGACCGGCTGGAGTAGGTCTGGGGGCGGGGCAGCGGCAGCCGAGTCTTACAGACACTTACGAGGCAGATGCGCCCGATGCGGGCGTACACGGCGGGGTTCTGCGGGGCCTCTGCCGAGCGCTCGCGGAAGAAGAAGTACAGTTTATCATCGTTGCGCTCCGCGCTGTCAGGGATAAGCTCAGCGTGTATAAAGGAGGGGTCTGTGGGTAGAGAGGTGGGCAGGCATCAGCAGCCTGAGCCCTGGCTAGACTCCTTTTTCCCCAACACAATCTCAAAGAGGAAACCAGCCCTTGGCTCAAACTAGCCACCCGGCCACACCTCCCACAAAAGTTTTGTAGGCGACGCTCACCATTGAGCCACCGGGAGTTGTACTGATCTGTGCGCATAGCCGTCTGCTTTCCGAGAGTGCGGAAGATGGCAGCGTCCGTGCCCATAAAATCTATATACACTCCTGCGTAGAGCTCCTCATCTGTAGGAGTGTCGGTGGGTCAGCTCACGTACTGCTCAGACTCAGGGACCCCCCAGGCAGAGTCCAGGACCCCCTGCAAGCTTCCCCAGGGCTCTCAGTAAGTGTTTATGACTGGTTCTGGCAGGACGGTCAGTGGCAATGGCACTGTGATCAACGCCTGTGGTCCTTCCGTCCCAGCTTATCTCCTAACCTGAGGTCACTTCACACAATGTCACCCTACAGGATATCTACCCCACAATCACAACAGGCCTAAACAGCTTCAAAAGCACAGATTACAAAGTAGCAATGCAGAAAGACAGTTAGGAAGTAATACATTTTGAGCCTCTATTGTATTTTGTTGCCAATACTTCTGGCTTAATACAATGTATCTGGTTGTGAATTTTCAATAACAGCTGTGTTTAACAACTGGCTCACAAAATTTCCTGAGAATTTAACTGCTGCGCTACTCCAGGACATCATGTCTTCCCTCTGAGCTTCTCCAGGGTTAGCCTGACCTTCCCCCAGTTATATCCCCTGGTCTGGACTCTGTTATCAGGCTAAGACTTTCTCAGTCACCAAGGAGAAAACACCTGCACCCCACACGCCCCCACCCCTCGGGGCCTAACCAGGCTTGCAGGTGGGAGAGCACCTGGAGCTGCTCCGTGAGACGCCCTGGGGGATGAACAGTCAAAAGCAGGCAGAGTGCCAGGCCAAGGGCAAGCTCCCCAACCTGTAGGCAGGTGCAGCAGCTGCTCTTGAGCCTCAAGACACTTTCTCAAGTGTCTCCTTAGACACCTGCCTTGTCTAGAAACATGTCCTGCCCAGCTGGTCGGGGTACTCTGTGGCGCTTCTTTGTGAACCCCTTCCAGTCTCCTTGACGTAGGAAGGGGCTGTGGGGGCCCTCCCCTCGCACCACTCTCAGTATGAACCCAGCTCATCTATCTTCTAGGTAACTTCTGGCTCTGGGGCTTCTAGGCTTCACAAAGATCACGCTTGATATCTCAGGGGAAGACCTGGCCCCTTTGTGTTCCATCCAAAAGGGCTGGATGGAGGACTGTAGCACCTATTCTGCTTCTCAGCGCACACCAGGGTCTGTACTGTCCTCCAACCCCCCTCCAGGCTATCTCCCCACTAGGAGCGGACACGACATGGTCAGAGTGTCTGACCTGGAGTACTGGTAACTCCCCTTATTCTAGTGGCATAGGACCAGGAAGGAGTGGAGGCACTCACTGATAAGGGCCGAGGCTGTGTCCAGCTTGGGGTCGTATGGACATTTGCCCTTCCCTGACTCGAGTCTCTCAGGCTCCAGGTAGAAGATGTAATCCTGCAGGGTAGAAAAGGGCTCAGCACATCCAGGCCAGTCCCACAGATAGGAGTAAGGTCCATTAGGTCCCTAGGTCAAGAATGAGACCCAAGGGCCACCCTGAGTCCACCCCTACATCCCTTCCCCAGGGTCCTTGGATTCGAATTCCATCCAGGCAGGTCTCCTGAGGCAAGCCCACGGTGTTTCCAAGAGAGTTACTCTCCAATCTTATGCCTCAGGCAAGGCTTAAGAATGAAATCTCAGAAGTTCAGGTCTCGGGGACCACAGGGTGGGCTCACAGGGGCTAAAGTCCCTCCATGCCAACTAGCTCAGGACGATGGCATCAAGGCCCCCTTGGACTACAGAGGCCTAATACTTTGAGCCATAGCTGCTTATGTTGGGCCAGGGAGGGGCTGCAGACCTGGATAGGGCAGGGGATAGAGTTCAAGGGCCTGGGGTCCTGTTCTAAGATCAGGTCCAACCAGGGAGCTCCAAGGTTACGTCTCCAGAATTTTTCCACAGAGTGGACCTCAGGATGGAGAGATACCACATCTCCCCAGAGAGCCAATTTTTTGGGGGGTGGGTGGGGGTGGGAGGTGTCCAGCTGAGACCACATGGATATCCCAAAGATAGCCATCATCCATCCCCACACCACCCATTTCACCCTGAAAGATGCTGTCAAGTCTCTGGGACCAGTTTGAGCCGACAGGCTCATCTGGTGAGAAAGGCAGGGAGAGGGAGGGAAAGGGGAGAGGAGGCGTGCGGGGGGGTGGCAGCAGGCGGCAGGGTGGTGACGGGAAGGCGCATACAGGTCTGCTTTCAGTTGCACTCTGCTCACATAAGTTCCTGCACACACAGGGGCTGCACGCAGATCGGCAGACAATGCAGGCAGCACGCAAAACCCACCGCTCACCCTAAATGCGCACGCACAGAACCTAGACAGCTTTAGAGTTTCAGCATTCCCCATCAGACACACAGACAGACAGACAGACAGACAGACACACACACACCGTCATGCGCTCGAGAACACGTATTCTCACGCAGCCTCACACGCTGTCATTCACCGGCAGCCTCTGCCCCCCTGCCCGCCCCTGCCCAGCCCCAGCTTGCCTTATCCAGCCCAGACCCCCAGTCTTGACTAACTCAAAGGAGAGGCCCCATAGGTGAGTGTGCAGGACACCTGATATCTACATACATGACCCACGGGAGACATGGGAACAGACACGTAGGAGTCATGTGCCAGACCCACTGTGGATGGTAAGATGTGCCCAAGCATATGTTGGCATGTGCTCATGTGTGTCTCCACACACAGTCTCAGGGCTGAGGCATGGCTGGCCCCAGGACCCCTGTCTTCCCCACCTGGCGGCTTCAGGATTTCTTGCCTGCAGGGGTCCCACTGAGGCTGACAAGAGTCCAGCTGGAGCTGCTTTCAGAACCTGAGGGCACTGCAGGGAAGGGTGGGAAGGGGGTTGGGGGCATGAGGGAATAGGGAGATACTGGGGAGGCCGGCCTTGGGGCCAGGCCCAGGGTAAATTGAGCTCAGAGGTCATTTAGCTTGGCAAAAGACTAGAAGGATGAGGCCCACCTGGCGTGGGGCTGTGGGCGTCGGGCGGTTGGCACCATCTGTGGCCCTGCTGCCTCGGCCTCTGACCACCTGCATCTGAGTCCATGGCGGGGCCTGAGGAGATGAGGAATAGAGGTTAGAGCTGGGGGTGAGAGGGGCTGGGGGAGCGGGCTTGGGCTGCCAACCTCTCATACCACACAGGCCAGGAACACACATGAACACATGGGCCCCCAGAGAACGTATATGCAGGTGTACACACACATACACACAGGCTTGGCACGCGCCTGCAACACGCATGTGTCCCGTATGTCCAGTCACTCTCACGCATGCCCTACGAGGTCACATCAACTCACATACATGCCCACATGGAAATGGAGAAGGGCAGAAGCAGGCAGGGTGGAGCAGAGCTGGGGAAAGGGCAGCTTCCCAAAACCTCTGGACCTGGGGGAGGAAGGCAGCTCTCTCCCAGGCCAGAGTAGAAGCTGACCCAGGCTTCCAGCCTTCTGGAATACCCAAGACCCCACCAGACCCTCTGACTTGGCAGCTCCACAGACACAGCCAAGAGAATGGTTGCCCCGTGCAGGGCAGATGCTTACTATGGGCCAGGCACAGTGAGCTGGAGAGCGCTAACTCACTGCCTCTTCCTCACACCGACCTGTTAGGAGGGAACTGTCAGCCCCATTTCCAGGTGAGGAAACCGAGGCTCAGAGAGCTGAACAACTTACTCACCCAAGGTCATGGGGCTTGGAAGTGGTAAGAATGGGGCTCAAGCCCATCCTCCCTTCAGGACCCTGGAATGCAGCCACCAGAGGGGACAGCACAGAGTCAGGGCCGGAAGGAGCTTACCTGTGCACGGCGGCCACGGTTCACATAGGTGCACATGGGGTTGTAGGCACCAGTCCCGCACACATAGAGGTGCGTTCGGTTCCAGGGCTGGATGAGCCTGACGAAGTTTCCACACTCGCCCTGCGGTCAGATAGGAAGCTGTGTGGATGCCCAGATACTTGCCCATTTCCATGCCCTCACTGAGGCCACACTGCCTCACCCTCTGGGGACCCCGTTACACTCACGTTGCCATCCTTGCCTGACAGTATGCACTCCTCAATGCGCTGTGGGGAGGCTGCCCAGTGGATCTGCCAAAGATGGAGGTTAGAGGATGCAGCCTTCTGGCCAGGTCCCAGACCCTGAGCTCCACGCCCTTCACCCTGCCTTGCCCCTCTTCCAGGCCAGCCCTTACAATGAGGGGCTCTCGGTTGATGTCGTGCAGGTCCAGGGACAGCACGTAGTCCTTGCTGCCCACGTACATGCGGTCATGGTCCTCATCCTTGAGCAGGATTCTGTAGTCTGTAGTATTGAGCAGGAAGTTGAAGAAGTGGGCGGTACCCGTGGCCTTAAGTTCTGTGGATGAAAGATAGGACACCAGTTAGGTCCTTCAAGAGGCACACACCCTCTGACAGAGACACTGAGGCTACAGCTGTCCTGAACTTCCCCTTCGTCTCCAGGGCCTACTAAGCTCCTTCTCCAGTTGCTGACAGCAGAGGAGAAAGTAGGACGTGTGGGCAGGCCAGAGAAGGGACCACACCCGAAGCTAAACCCTTGATTCACAGGCAGCCCAAGCTAATCCCAATGAAAGGGCCATGGATGCAAGCCAGGGTGTATGATGGCATCAAAGAGTCTGCTCAGGTTGGGGTAGATGCTTCCACTCAGGGCGGGACCGACTCCCCATAGGGGCCTGCCTGAAAGGGTTAATGAACAGGTGGGAGTGGTGGTGGGCAGGACATGCTCCAGACGTTGGCATGGAGCCTGGATGGTCTGCCCTGACCCTAGCTGACCACCGGGCAGGAGACACAGATGGTTCACTGCAAGGTTCCCCACCTGACCTGAAACAGGGTAGCCAGACACCGAAAAGCCCCGAAGGAGCCATAATACCCTACAGAACACGGGTCCACCAGACCCCACAAGGATGTACCCTACTCTGAAGTAGCCAGGAGGGGTCATTGTGGGAATGGAGGCTCCTCCCAGCGATGCTATAGGAGCCCCATGGCAGGAGCTGAGGGCAGAGTTAACTGGGCCTTCTATTTCCTCTTGGCCTGTTTGCAGCAGCCTTGACTCCCATCCTCAGGACACTAAGGAAAAGTCTTTCCTGGGATGAACAACAGGTAGCCCAGCCAACGACGGGCCAGTGACACACCCAGGACTCCTGGAAGCTTGTGGACCTGTCTCTGCTGGAGCTGAAGGGTCCGCTGACAAGTCTGTCCCCCGCCCAACCCCAGCTATTTCTGGCTCAGGAGAGAGAAAATTGTGATTGAGGGTTGGTGAATAGCCAACAGTACAGGGGGCTTTGGTGGCAACACACAGAAGAACACATACGTGTGCACACACATATAGCAGGTATGCAAATGTGTCCTGGGTTACTATACCCACTCCCTGTTCCCACGGCTGGCACCCAGCTTCACAGGTGGGGCAATGGTAGGGTACTAGGCACCTGGAGAGAGAACAGCTGAGATCTTAAGCTCTGGACACAGCCTGAAGGTGGCACCAGCAGGTGGCTGTCCCTGATCGGCCTGGTTCTGATTCCAACTGGTGTGTAGGGTCCCTAGGATGAGCTAGAGGCACTTTGTCTGAGAGCAGCGGGCTGGTCTGTCTGGGCACAGAGAGGGATGGGATGGCGTGGGCTACAGCAGCAGGAGATCTGACTGTTGACCTACAGCCCGGGTCTGGTCAGGACCTTATTGTTTAGAGCTGCCTTGCCCTGCTCAGACCTGATTATCTAGCAACAAGGGAATATAGGTGATGACCTTGGCCAGCGACTGGAACACGGGGACGCAGGGACGCCGAAAGATCAAAGGGCCGATCCCTGCCTGGCTGTGGCCTCGCCCGCCTGTCCGGCGGCGCCTCTGAAGTCCTGGGCAGGGCAGCTTGGGCACCTGTCCTGCACCTGTTGCTGGGTCACTCGGAGTCTCCTGCCTGGCCACCCAGTCATAGTGACAACAGGAAAGTAAACATTCCCCCACCCCCAGGGCTGGGAAGTGGCCAGAGAGGAAGTGGGGCTGCCAGTGGAGCCCCCCCAAGGCTGAGACAGCCTGCCAGGGGTTATTTATACCCTGGCTGGGGGCATGGCCTTGGCTGTGCCCTTATTCATCCTGCTACGCTGGGGGGCACTTCAGGGGCACTGGAAGAGAGGAGGGAGGGCAGAAGATCAAGTGGACACCTTCTAACGGAGCACCTAGGTCAGCAAGGGGAGATTCAGAGAGCTAGCACCCAGGCACCCACGCAGCCATAATCTCAAAGCCTTGTGCTGACATATCCCTACCCACTCTTGGCCCCATAATCTAGACCCCGCCCCATGCTGTGCCATGACCGCCAGGATCTAAGATCCAAGTCCAAACCGGCAATCTGCTCCCAGGGCCCCAGCTCCCTGTGAGAAAGACAAGAGAGACATCATTGCGCAGATAAGAAAAGAAAGTTCTAGAAAGGGGACAGGAGACTCTCCTTGACCCAATACACATGCCTCTGTATCTCTGTCCTGAGGTGGAGGGCACCTCTAAGTCAGGTACCTACTCTCCTCAGAGCTTTGTGCTTACACCCGGTTGACAGGTGAGGACATTGGGGTACAGGGGAGGGAAGTGACAGGCAGACTGCATGAAGACTGATGGCTGAAGGGTGGGAAGCCCATGGAAGCCAGTCCTGGTGATAGAAAGTGCCTGCCAGGAGATGGAGAGCCGGAAGGTGACTCGTCCTCGTTCATCAAGGCACGATTCAGAACCCTAGGGACTCCTCTCAATGGCCTCGGGATATGGCGTCAACGGCTCTGGTATTATAGGGCACTCTGATGTCACAGGACATGATGCTTTAGTCACTGTGGAAATGGTGAGGAGGAGGTGAACCCCCAGGAGGCAGTGCAGTCTGGAGAAGAAGTGGGACGGAAGGTCAGGAATCCTTGGCTATGGCTCCATTTCCACTGTGAGCCGCATTAACACCCCCGTTGAAGCAACCCTGGCTCTCTGAACCTCATTTTCTAGTCCAGAGCATTTCACGGGCCTTCTGAATCTGATATTCAAGGTGGCCCTGGAGGAACCTGGGAGCTGTCACTCCTCTGGCCTCCCCAATACGTCCTTCAGGGGCATCTATCTTGAGGGGACCAGAGAACAGGCTGGTGCTCCCAGATCTTTTCCTGAGGAAGCAGGCTTCCTTCCAGATGTCACCATCACCTGAAGGACAGCCACTCACATCCCTGCTACCCCATTTCCTAGCGCTGGCGAGACGGGCAGCGAGGGCCACAGGGACGGAAGAGGCTTCCTGTTGACTCAGCCCAACCTCTGTATTGCCAGCATGTCCTCCCAGCCCCTGTCCACAGAAGCACAGCAAATTCAATTCATCAGAGCCAGCCTACATAAGCGAATAGCAGAGCTGGGTAGTTCTTCAGGGTCTAGAGAGAATCATGTGTCAGGGTCTAGCCGTGCTAACTCAGAGCTGGAGTGCTGATGCCACTCATGCTAGATGTCCTGGAAAAATGCAGATAAGAAGCCGCCGTGACTGTCCCACATCCTTAGCTGCAGACGGGAAGACAGAGGTGCTCAAGACTGTAAAGCAGAATTAGCATCCTGACCTATCCTAACCTGTGTACCGCAGGGCAAAGGATATGGGGGCTTTCAACCCCCTTCTCCCAAGAAGCCTGGTTCAGAGCTGGAAGAAAAGCTCAAGCAGATATCCACAGCTGACACCTGCAGTAATTGGCAGATCCTACTGGGTCCAGTACTTTTAAAGCAGCGGCTCTCAACCTGTGCGTTGTGACCCCCTTCAGGGGCCGAATGGCCTTTTCACAGGGGTCTCTAAGACCATCTGCGTATCAGCTATTCACATTATGATTCACAACCATAGCAAAATTATAGTTGTGAAATAGCAACAAAATAATTTTATGGTTGGGGGCACCACACACCATGAGCAGCTTTACCGAAGGGTCACAGCATTAGGAAGGTTGAGAACCGCTGCCTTAAAGGGACTTGGGTCAAAAGGTTCCAGGGGCCCGAGGTGGCATTAACGCATGTGGTAACGATTCAGACCCAGCCTGGTCATGTCTCCGCACCAGTGTCAGTAGGTGACAACAGGGCTTGAGCCTGGATATGTTTTGAGCTTGTCAGGGGAGGGTGGGGGCCTGGGTGCTGCTTCCTGGGAAGAGCCCCACCCCCCTGCTCTCACCCAAGCTGGGCACAGGCTGGGTGGAGTGGCATCCGGGAAGGATTTTCCCGTCATGGGAAGGAAGAGCCTTTTCTGGCATCAGACACCTCACTTCCGCAGCGGTTCCCAGCTTCCAGACCTCTCCCGTGGCTGTTAGACATAGTGGCCTGGCCCAGAATGGCCTGGCCCAGCTCCAGGGGCAGACACAACCCCTGCCTTCTGGGCTTGGTCCTGGGGTCTCTGCTTCCTCACCTCTGGGAAGCAATGGTTGATGCCTTACTTTAAAGGAGTCAGTGGGCGTGTCCACAGCCCTCACCAAAGACCCCAAGTGGGCGGCCTCCACCCCCTGCTGCCTGTCTCTAGGACACCAGACCTGCTACCAGTGAGGCAGGGGCTTCTGCAAAAGGAGGACTCTTGGAGCAGAGGTGGGTGCCCCGCCCCCTTGGTTACAGCTCCACAAAGCACTGGGCTCTGACTGACAGTTGTGACCTCCCCCAAAAGGGCTTCGGGTGAGGGAGTGATAGGCAGGTCCCTGTAGCCTAGCTCTGACCTCTGACCTCCTGTGGGCTAGTGGCAGCCCTAATCCCTGAGCTGAAGAGAAATGGGATTGGGTATGAAGGGGCTGCTAGTCTAGATCTTTGTTAGCACATCATCCACCAAGGAGACAGGCCTCCTGACCCGAGGACGCAAACCGAGACAGATAAATGTGTGTGTGTGATATAGACATGTAACACATTATAACATATTTCATGTTAATTTATATTTACATATTAACAGTGACACGGGTGGCGGAGCCCAGGCAATCCCCACCCAACACTCCCATGGGCTCTAGGGAAGGGTCGCCCTGAGCATCTTTCATTCCTCCAAAGCTATGAGGGGCCCCAGAGGAAGGCCCAGGGGCTGGCCTGGCCCCCTGGCTTCCAGCCTAATCCTCTTTTAATGAGCGGCCAGCCGGAAGGCCTCAGCCCCTGGCCACAGCCTGCAACCCTGGGAGCCCCAGCCAGGCTGAGCTGGGGGCAGGGCATCCCAGAAGCCTTAGTATGTTCCGCTCCCTAGCTCAGCACACTTACCCACTCATACCCAAAGCCAAGACTTCACCCACTGGCCAGGTCAACTCAAGGCCCATCAGGAGCAGTGGCACCTGCTGTTGCCACCATGGGCCGCCCTCCGTGGGCCCTTAGGATACAAGCAAGCCCTGGGGCTGGGCAGGGGATGAATCT